CATTAAATCTACTGTCTCAACTGCTTTTTTAGAGTTTAGCTGCTGCCTGCATTGGACTTAGGTCCGTCACTGATCGTTTTGCTTGTTCTTTTTTTTAGCAATGCTCTAAGAGTAATTAAAAAATATATAAAAATGCCGTAGATTAATTAAAGTGAGTGGCACATTTGCGAGAAAACAAATTGGAAATATTTCAGACACGTTAGCATGTTCAGCTGACACGTTTGAGCTATTGATTTTGAAGAACACTTTAAAAATAAGTCAATCAATCAATAAAGGTACGTTAGAAGTGAATGCGTCTAATTATGTTCTACCCGAGAAGTGTAATTGAGAATGTGAGTGATTTAGATTTGTTTGCCAAAGTTATAGCATTATAATACAGTCCAAGCTACAGTCCCACCAAATTTCCACCCAGTGGGTTGATAAACCGTCATTATTATTGATAATCGGCAATCAGTCAGGTTAATAGCTTGACAGCCATTCTGTTTGATAGGCATTGGTTCAGTGAGCGTGTTAAATATATTATGATATTTTGATTTATTCCAGTTGAACAGCAACAACAAACAACTTGGCATTCATGAATAAAACCGTTTAATCCATCAAATGTAAATAAACTGAGCACACAAAAAATGTCATTTAAAAATTAATTTAAATAGTCTGATATTCATGTGAATCATATTTGAATTGAACTGAAATCTGAAGAAAGAAAAGCCAAATTTAAAGTTTAATTTTCGTTTGCAAATTCGTGCAGCTCATCGAAAAATGTGTGAAAAGCGTCAACAAAGCTGGGAAATAACCTAACATTTTCTCAGTTCATTATGGTAATGCTTTGTCCCAGAACAGTTCTTCAATCCAAGATATTGCGCTGAAGTTAAAAAACAGACAATATTCCATTCCGTTGCCTTCTCCTGATTACTACTCGCATTCGTATTTCTGAATTTGTGTTTCGTAATTAGTTTTACTTTTTTCTTTTTCTTCCGTAATTATGACTAAATGCTCCAGATACTGCAAGTACAAACTCATATCAGAGACATGTATGATGTATGTATGTATATCAAAGGGGAGACGAGACTGGCAAAATGAAAACAAATTTGCACTGATTACTATGCGAGAGAGATTTATGGTGTGCAGTGGAGGGGATTGGGTATTGGGTATTGCGTATTGGGGGCAGGGAGTGGGTTGGGCTGGCAACATGTAATTCGCATGTCGCATGACAAATGACACACATTTAGTTGTGAAAACAAAAAAAGGAAAAAACGTCAACGCTGACAAAAATTAAGATTGATCCAGACGAGCAGACTCGCATCGAAAATACCCTGTACGAAAGTTTATCACTATCTTTGAATCGTAATTGTCGTCCATGACGCTAAGCTGAAATTCAAACTGGGTAGGTAATATTCCAAATTTAAGATATTTAAATATTCGATTAATAATCATTCTACAATTCAATCAGAGCCATAAACTCGCAGTCGGCAAGCGATTGCTGTTATTCCTGTGCAATACCACAGACACACACATTTGTATTTGTATTGTGGTTTGAATATGTATTATGTTTTTATAGTGACAATTGTCAACGATTGTATTTAGTATACCCTGCACCACTTAATAAATTGAAAAGCAGTTTCGACAATGCTTCGATGGTGAAATACTTTTTAATCGGTTGCTTCAGTGTTTTAATATACTTAACAGATGAGTACAGGGTATCTACCAATCGCACACCTTCGACTAGAGCATTGTGACTTATTAATGATAATATTATTGCTATTATTATTGTTGCTGCTGCTGATGCTGCTGTTGCTGTTGCTGTTGCTATATGCCACATCTACTTTCATATATTCTAACTTTAATCTTTTGAACGAGCGAAATCAATTTTGTAGCTTCTAACATTGGAACTTTCTCAATAAACTAAGTTAAACAGAAATAATACTTCTAGTTGAAAGTAGTATAAGTTATTTATATTATTATCAGAAACCATTCAGGAAAAAATCGTCCTGAATCGCCAAGGATAACTAGCCTGAAATATTGTGTCTTCCTAAAAACCAGGATTTTTGTTTTCTTAATTCCAGAATACATCTTTCTAAAGTGTAGGAAAAATATGTATATTTTCCAAAGTGTTTTTTTTATTAAGAAAATTGATTTATTATAATTAAATATTATTTCCAAAACAAGAAAAACTTTCCAGTTTTAAGAGTTCTTTAAAACGCAGGTCGATTTTTATTTCTGAATGTATCAAATTATCTATGAGACTGAAATAAATGTAACCAGAATGATTTTCATTGCTTTAATCTGTTTATGCCTCGAACGCAATGTTAAAGGCTTTGTCAGATGTGCCATAGAATGCAGCAAGCATAAGCAGGAAGAATACCCGACCCCATATATCATATATTATTGATCTGCATCAATAGATTGGATCAGTAACACGGCAGCAAATCATACATTCGTATTTTATAAATTAGGAAAAATCTTAAGTGTTGTTCGGTTTGTGGGTTTTTGTTTTTGAGTGCATATGCGATGGTATATGTATGTATGTATGTATGAGTATGTATAAGTATATGTGTCGGGGATACCTTCTTACAATTTATTACAGATCATGTGCAATTTCCTACTCATGGTGCGCATACATCCGCCTTTCAGCAGCTCCTCAGCATTGTTGTTGCTGTTGTTGCTGTTGTTGTTGCTGTTGTTGTAGGGTTTGATTTCCTGTTTGGGCGCAACGCTTTTAGGTTGCCATTTAACAGACCGCAAGCACACATTCGTCACCTAAACTGAGGATTTGGCTTGCGAACTGGGGCGGGCGGCGTTTGCCATTTGTCTGTTTGTCGATTTCTGTTGTTGCCACTTACAAATTGGCTTTTGGCCACAAAATGCCCTCGTTTGGTCAAAGGCAACCGCAGCAACGGCAACAGCAACGCCAACGGCAACAGCAACAGCAGAAACTTCAGAGCAAAACCCTAATAAGCCAAAAGGTCAAACATTGTTACCAATATACAAGGCGAATATATGCCAAAATCAGAGAGAGCGAGAGAGAGAGAGAGAGAGAACTCTTCAATTGGCCAGTTGCCTGTTTTGGCCCCAATATAGACCCGGTCAGCTGGCCAACTTTTAATGCCGGGCACGTTGGCAAATGGCCGGCAGCTTGGCAGTGTCCAACAAAAGCGTCACTTCCGATGAATTCCTTTTTAATTTATATGTTAATCATTGCGCTACATAAATATGCCAGCTACAGAAAACCCGACAACAACAATGGCGACAGAATCAAAAAAAAAAACAAAAAATTGTCTTCAGTTTGAATATGAAAATGCCATGTAAATAGCCGTCATGGCCTTGCTGGCTAAATGAATCAACGGAGCGAATGTCTCGAATGCAATTTAGCCATCTCATTGTCTACTTTGATTTCCGTTCTTTAATGAGCAGAAACAACAACAAGAAAAACAACAATAGCAACTACAAAAACAACATCATTTGCCCACCTCTGGCATTGACAGACACTGGGCTCCTTTTGTGTGCACTCATCATCAATGCGGCTAACGGAGCGTATGCATAACTGAATGATTACACTGGCCGACAGCGTTTTTTATGCCGCCGGCTAGCAGTTGCTATCTGCTTCATTGTAATGCATAAGTAAGCCGCATACAAAATATAATAACTACAATTAGCGAACTTCGTCAAGCAAAAAAATCATTTACAGTTTTTATCGTGATACGATATACAAAATCTTAATGGATATAAACGAGCTACTGTTTTTAAGCTTGACAGATATTCATAGCTAATTTCCGCTTCCGTCAAAAATTGGTCTATATGGCTGGAATAAAATTCCACCTACATTTTAGAAAATTGCCCGAAAATGAGAATCGCACTGAACACTACAAAAATATTAAATAAAATTGTAAACAGAATTGAAATGCCCTAATAGAAAATATTTCTAAAAAGTAGAAAAGAAAACAAAATATATAAAAAAAATCTTTCTGAAATTCAGAATTTAGAGATGAATATTTTTTTCTTTGGGAAAACTGTGAATTTTTTTTGGATTCAGCGATTATTTATTTTATTTTTCTTTTTTATATTTTTCTTTTCTTGTTGGCATGTGTAATCATTGAATACGAATACGAAATACATATTTATTCATTCATTTATTGACGAATATTATTGTTTACTCTGAAGCATTCAGGTCCGTCGGCTATTGATGATTGCGCTTCAATAGAAGTCAATTTAATACTAAAATTACGCAGTTCTTTCTTTAGCTACTGTTCACTTCCGACTAATTTCATTACCAATACCAGAGTTCTTGGTATTAACATAACATAGTTGACACGTTTTTGAGATGGGCAGCTGGCAAATTATGAACACATTTCAAATTTCTGAAGAATTATGTGTTGGAGAAAATTGAAATTTTATAAGAATTTGTACTACAAAAATGTTTGACACGTCTGCCAGTGTTTTCCAAAGAAAAGCATTTTCAGCCAATAAGCCCTTAAGTTGCTTATAATTTAACAATAAAGATTGTGATATAGTGTCAAAAATAAATATTTTTGATTTAGAGCTGTACATGTGTCAATAAGTTGAATGAAGTGGAGCGGAAACAAATCTTGTAATATTTGCACTATAAAATGACCGTAAAAGTTTGATAAGTATTTGAGATGTTTGAATTTAATTTGCATGCTTTATTGATTTCGACTGCTTGTACAGGACCAAAACAGGACACTGCTTGGAGAGATGACCAAACTGGCCAGGAAAAATGCTTTATTTTGATTTCAATTCAATTTATTTTGATTACCTTCTATTGGTCCACCTTGACTACATCTCGAACAGTAGCAGCTCGAGCATGCTCTCAATTGTGTGATTCAGTCTTTTATACAAAGTGCCTTCCAAATATTCAAATGGGACATCAAACAAATTTATTTGAAGTTGATACAATTGTAGTCTGTATTCTCCTCGTGCTAAGTGTACACAAATGAAATTTTTCTAATTTATAATTTATGCTTTTTCATTCTTTTTCATTGCAGGACGAAAAGAATCAGCTACTCATCACAAATATTTGGCTTAAATTGGTAAGTTCTCGGCAACTTTTAATACTAAACATTACTAAGTGAGGCAGCATTATTCAAATACGAGTACAAATTATTTTGGTTTTCCATCGCACACACGAGTCTTGGCCAAAGATTTGTTGCCCTTCAGGCAATAAATTGTGTGTCGGTCTAAAACTCAATTCTCCCATACGCACAGCCACACAGTGCAACGAATGAAATTGCCCCAATTTGTCAAAAGCCAAATCCAACAAAAATACAAAAAAAAAAAAAACAAAAAAATCAAATAAAAAAGTAACGAAATAAAAAACAAGATAAAGACAGACTGACAAAAAATGGCACTCGCACTTGAGAAAAAAGCTATGGAAATCACTTAATAGCTTAAAATGCGTAAATTGCGTAAATTCCACAAATGCGGCCTGCCGTGGAGTAGGGCATTCATTTTAATTTTCCTTTCCCCATTTCTATTATCATTTGCACTTCACCCATCCACAGCTGCTTCAACTCTGAGCCGTAGAAATCCTTTTATTCGCCGCCCTCTTACCCAACCAAACTTCTGGGCAAAAAGTGCGTTCAATGTCTACTCGGTTCGTCGGCTTTCTTTCTTTTCTGTGATACCCACAGCATTAGTAGGAGGCAACGTCAGCGAAATGTGTGGTATGTGCCCCATGCAAACGAGCAGCCAGCTGCTGGTCGTTTCTGCCACTTCGGCTCAATCGGCTGCAACTAATAAAGATTATTTCGGCCTAATTGTCATATCGAGTGACAAAATAATTGGACATTGCTCGCAAATGCAAGAAAGTCGCAATTTAATTCAAAATGAAGATAAAAATGCCACTAACAGCAGTAATTGTATTCTGAATTTAGCTCCAGTTAAAAGGAATAGCTTGTAAATGTCCTAATTCAAATTAATTATTTTCAATTAAAATCAGCTAGAAATATGTTTGCAAGTTAATAGAATTTGTACAGCGTAACTTAAAATAAAAAATCAAAAGAAAAATCCAAATTATGCTTTTGATTATAATAATGTAGGCATTAATCAATTTTAAAAGTACATTTCTTAAAATTAAACATCTCACAATTTTAAATTTATCAAAAGATGTCTTCGAAGACTTATTCAGCTGGAAGATTGGCCAGTCAGTTATTCTACAAATATTTTCGAACAAAGACTTGCATTAGAATTAATCTTACATTTTAGATAAATTTAGAAAAAATGTATTATCTCAAAAGACATTTTTCGACTCGCTTTGGACTTCAACTTAAATTCACATTGTAAATGTGCATTGTTAACGATTTTATTCAATTATATGCAATAATTTTACTTGACCTAGCATTTAAGATCTGTTATCAAATTAATTTGATTGCTCCGGCCACGTCATATTCATGGCCAAGTTCGAGTTTCATTCGAAAGCAATTAAAGAATATATGAATGATTAATACCCATGATTGGGCGCCAGGTACATGGGTGGTAATTGCTTGTAATTTGATTAATCGATGCGATCAAATGCAAACAGGACCATTTCTACCATTTCATTAGCCTCTGGCAGCGAATCGATGCGCTAATCGCCTTAAGTGTCACAATAGCAACAAATTTAATTACGATAAGCATCAGCAGCCCCCAAGCCCCCAAGCTCTCACCAAATAGTTGCTTTCAGCATTCACACCCAATTGTATGCCCGATTCGGCTCTAGTTTATGACCGTCTATCCATAAGCGTGCACATTACGATGATTGATGGTTAACGCACCTTTCCAGTCCACAATCTCATATCCAATATTTTGCCACTTGTTTTATCGGCGAGCGGTGGACACCGCTCATAGTATATACTCGATCACGTCTAATTAATACGTTATTTGTAAATGGCCCACAAAACAGGCTCAAGATGAGAATGAAGCTATTGATTAGATGTATCCACAAATTATGTAACACTCTGAAAAACAGGAAAATGGCATTGAAAACTAGAAAAACTTTGTCTTACAGATAATTTCTATATATCCAAAAATAAAAAAAAAAAATTAAAATTACAATGGATAGAAAATATTATAAATATATACGGAAGGGAAAACAATTCTCTCCGAAGTTCAGAGAATAGTAATGAAATTTGCTTTCTATTACAGTTTAGCTATTGTTTGTCTTAAAGGACGAGTAACTTCGCCTCTTATTGGTATAACTTACGATTTAATAATCGGTATGAATATTTTAAGCTTACGTTTATACCGTCAAAATATCAAAAGGTTGAGTTGAGTTGTCTTAAGGAATGGATCAATTTGTCAGCATGTTTCATTTCAGAATGATTTCTGTATTCGCATTTCCATTATTCGTTTCACAAATAGACTTTAATTAATTAAGACGGGCGTCAGCGACTGAAATTCTTTTGTTTAACAAAATTCCGACCTTCTGGCTTATATACAATTGAAACAAAGAGAAACGCATTTGTTTATATATTTATATATACAGCTATATATATATATATATATATATATGTATTTACATGTTGTATTGTTTATGTATCACTATATCCGTATTTCACAGGAATGGAACGACATGAATCTCCGTTGGAATTCCAGTGAATTTGGAGGTGTTCGCGATTTACGTATACCGCCTCATCGCTTGTGGAAACCGGACGTGCTCATGTACAATAGGTAGGTGAAGCTTGGAATAAACATTTTTCAATTTTATTTAATTCTTTATGACTGCGGTGCTGCGGTTAGACACCTTGGGCTTATCCTGGCAGACTTATGATGTTGCCATCTTGATGGGACAGAGACAATTCAATTGGGCCTTATGTTGACTATCTATTTTTATGGCCAATTCCCGTGCCCATACAATGCTTTATCATTCTGTAATAAAAACCCTGTGCGGTTGTTGTTGTCGCTATCATTATTGGCTTTATGTCTGTGGTTTTATTGCTTTATTCATATAATTTTATTTGCACTTGCAACATTTTGATAATATGTAACGAAAATGTGTGTGTTTTTTTTTATTTGCTTTTTTAAACCCTTTTATGCTTATGAGCTGCCATTTGTTTGCCTACGTTTTCTATATATATATATATATATATATTTGCTATATATATATATTTTATTTTTTCCATGTTTCATACCCTTGCATTGGGTATTCTTATTAGTGTATGGAGCTCATAATTATATATTTACATATCTACTTGATGGAGCTGAGCTGATGCAGACATGAGTATGTCTGCCTCTCTGTTTGAATTTGTGAAAATGAATCTCTTAGCTTTAAGGCTTTTTATGTAAAGTTCAGTTTATCAGTGTATGCTATCTTCGGCAGCCTTGTAATCGTTCTAGTTTATCCTATTTTTGCTGTTGGCAACTTGATTGTCAACACACCCAAACCTTTTGCTCCTTTGTATTTATGAATGCAATATATATGTAAATATGTACAAATTACGTGCTCTGCTGCTGAAGATGTTTAAGGTCAGTTTTCATTTATATATCTACGCGAACTTTCTTTAAGAAATATTCGGGTATTCTTAAGTATTACATACATATATATATATGTATATAGATATCTATATATAGCTCAGCTAAGAATACCCAAATATTTGCAGCTTTTTGACACAAAGCCACAGCAAAATATAAATATAATTATAAATATATAAAAAGAGCTAATATCGCTGTTAAAACACACAGTCATTTATCAATTTGTAGCTTTAAATTTTGTCCATTTTTCACTTCACTTCAAAATAAGTTGCTGCTTTGAGAATGTCAATCAATGACACCCATCGCATAATCCATTGCCATGCGGTATACTCTTTAAAATTGTGTGAGTGGCATTTTAGTTTTATGACAAATAAAGAGGGGCCAAGAAGCGAGCAGCTGGCCGCACAGTAAACGCACAAATTTTAATGCGTATTTGGGCAAGTTTTTATTACAAAGCAAATGACTTGCTGGAACAAAGGCTGAGTAGCGGGAGGTGCAATTAAGAGGGGATGCTGTAAAAGTGCTCAACACAATGCGAACAGTAGCAATATCAGCAGCAACGACACCGACAACAGCAAGAACAATGCCAGCAAAGGCTGTAAGTGCCACCAACATAAATTCACACATACACATACACACACATATATATATACATGCACATATACATATACATGGGACTACAAGGATTTTATGATGGCTACTTGCATGGGAGCAACAGCGGCCATTCTCAGCTTTTTGTTGTGCCCTGTGCTATGCCTCAGTGTCAAGATGGCTCAGATTTTGATGATGTGACTACAATACGAGTAGATGGCACGCCAGCATAATGAATCATAATTTAACTGTTGACATGACCAGGCAGTCCGCTGCACAGGGGCGTTGCGGGGGCTGCTTACTGTTTTGGGTTGGAATAATGACAGAGACAAAAACATTAGCGCAAAAAATATATTTCACAGCTGCTACACTTTATTCGGTTATATGCATCAAAACAACACATGACGGAAATGAAAAAAAGATTCTCTTCTTTCTATTTTTTTTTTTTTCATATTATTAATATGTTTTAAATAACATGGATTACTAGCTTTTACTTAGAAAATAAATCGTTCAAATTTGTAGAAAATCGCGAAAGGGGCAACTTACTTTATTAATCCGAAAATAAGAAAGTATATATCTAAAACGGAAGGTAATGTATTTCTAAAATCCAAGGGTTTCTTATGTTAATTCCAGAGAACATTTACAAAAAATATCTGATTTCAAGGCGTATATTATTAATAAACATTCATATTTTTAGATTTCACATCAAATTGTTTAATTTAGGAAAAATTAACATCACTTAACTTGGAAAAATGTCAGACTTTGCGACGATTCTAACTCGGAACCCTTCGTTCTCTAGCTTCGTTCCTTCCAAGGCTAAACACGAACATAGCAGTCGTAAAGCAAATTACATTAAAATTTCCTACAAAATATGGGTTTGCATTGCAACTTTTAATGCACTGTTTGCTACCCTTTTGTGTGCGTAGAATAAGTCGACACTTTGAAAGTGATATACCCAATGAAGGCGACAGGATTTACTGGGTACAATTAATAAATATTAAATTAGTTTGCCAGCGGTAAAAATTGAACCGTAAGAAATGAGGGAACGCAATACAAGCACCGCATTGCCTATGGATTAATCGATAATCAGTGACACACACACCCACACACACAAGCACAAACACACAGACACACACACACACACACACATACACACATACAGAAGATGACACCCAGAATGGCAGCGCGGAGAAGCCAGTGAACAGTTGGCAGTGTTAAAATGATTTATGCACAAAAGTGTGCCACATAAATTTCCATATGCGTTGTGCCTGGTATCCGATTGTAAAAAAAGAAAAGTCCTAAATGCGTCAACGTGGCCAACACACAGCCACACACATATTTCTACTTACAAATATATGTACACATATGTATTATGTTTAAGTACCTTTTGCCATTACTTATATGCATATACGTTGCAACTTTACTTGCAGCGCGGACGAAGGCTTCGATGGCACCTACGCCACCAATGTGGTGGTGCGGAACAATGGCAGCTGCCTTTACGTGCCACCTGGCATCTTTAAGTCCACGTGCAAAATCGACATTACCTGGTTCCCCTTTGATGATCAGCGCTGCGAGATGAAGTTTGGCTCCTGGACGTACGACGGTTTTCAGGTAAGCGCAAAGCGTTTCATATTATTTACTGATTGCCACATTTGTAATTTATTATGCATCATATATCATGCAACACATATTTATAACAGTTTTCATAATCGTACAGAGCGTTTTACAATTTGCTCACATTGCAGTAAACGTCACCGACCTTATATATATATATATTTATATTCTTGATCAGCATCAATAGCTAAGTCATTAAAGCCATGTTTCTCTAGTTGTCCTTATGTGAATTAGTTTCTCAGCTCGAAGCTTTCTTGTTGACGATTGAAAAATATGAGAAATATGAGTTCTTCTTCGAGGAGCTCTAATATATATTCAATTTATATTACTATTAAAAATGCTATAATTTGTACAGACTCTAGCATAGCAGTCGGGAGAGCAAATTTCATTACTATTTTCGAAATTTCAGAAATGATTTTTTGTAAAAATAATGGTTTGCATTTCTGCCTTTTAGAAATATTATCTCATTAATTTATTGCAAAGAAATGTATTTATTTAAAATATATAAAAGGCCTTTCTAATTTTAGGAAACTGTTTAATATATTTACAAATTATATTTTAGAGCGATTTTTCGTCTGAGTTGTGCAAGGCTCTTTCTCATTTGGTGTCTTTGATTTTCTAATTTATTTAATGTAATCTGGATCGGTGTCAAATTGGTTGCATTCAAATTCGATTGCAATCATAATTTGTGCAAATTACATTAAGTGCATACGTTTACAGTTCAATTAGTGACCGAGTAAAATGTCAAATGCGCAGCCTGTTGACAAATTGACAAACATTTATTTAAGCAATTCAATGAACAATTCACCAGCAGTGCAAATGATGCAAATGCAAATACCCTGCAACAAAATACTAAAATACTATTAATTCATCTAACTACGCCAAATAATATGCCCCAAAAAACGTACGAATTAAATTGATGAGCTTTGACAATTGATGCTGCAATCGTATAAATTAAATTGTTCATTGATAAAATTATATTATTGATTGAAATTGGGTAGGGCGTTGAATACAATTTAATCAAGTTGGCAGCTGCATTTAGTGCAACGCATCCTTATATACCTATTAACAATAATTGCATTAAATATCAGCAATAATTAATCCTGACACCTGACCATTTCCTACCACAACTTCCAACTGCACACAAGTTCACATCCAAATACAGAATCAAAGATGACTAGCATATATGGCATATAGAATCTCCGCATTGCCTAGCAAATCAAATAATTTACACACACTTGTGAGTTCTTCATCGAGCTCCTTCTGATTCACACAGGCACAAGCACATTTGCATACAGACATGTATGAATATGTAAATGTACTCACTGCGAATCCGCATAACTCATTCAATGCGCTCATCGCGCATAATTTGTAATTCCGGATATCCGGCATTGCAATCCATAAATATTGAATGAGACAGCGCAAACAGAGTATCCCGCATCCATTTGACCTAAATAATTGAAATGTGCATATATTTCTTCGACATTTATTGTTAATACAAATACAAAACTTTGCAAATGAGAAAGTAAAAGGACGCCAGCTCGAGCTTAAGTGCAGTCAAGCACAGCTTAAGTTGTTATCCAGTGAATCGGATCTCATCTATTAATATACATACATATCTGAAGCCAAATAAATAATGAGTCTAATTAGTTAATTGCTTTTAACAAATTGGCTTAAGGCGATGCTAATTGATTATTTTATGCTAGAAGTGAACTATCTGCGGTGGTGTCATTATTGCTTATTATTTTCCATTAATAATTGCCAACTAAACAGAATTTGATTGATTAACTAATTTATTAATTAAATTGTAAATTTTTTTTTAATTATTAAGTATTTGTATGTCACAAACATTCTCAGAGATTCGTTACTAGCTTTTTGCAGTGTACAAAAATTGCGACTTTAGGTCGTAGCAGCTAGACTTGTTACAAACACATTAACAAAACTCATTTGCAAATGTGTGTGGTGTGTGTGTGTGTGTGTGTGTGTAATATATGCAACGATGGTGCGTGTGTGCTTGTATAAGAGAGCTCTAATCAGCAAAAATCCATTGGCAGAAAAACTGGCAACCAACTTGGCATTGCATGCCAAACTCAAGACAAACACATATTAGCAGGCACTGAGTGTGCACACACACACACACACACAAACACACACACACACACACACACACACACACACACACACACACACATACACACACATTGACTTGTCATACACCATTGCACAGTGCATTAATGTGCATGGCAAGATGCTGACATGGTATGGCGAACGAGCCAAAAGTTTGCTGCCAACTCAAAATCAGGCAAGAGAGAGAGAGAGAAAGAGAGAAGAAAGACGGTTAGAGCGAGTGCGAGAGTGTGGCTGGAGGCAAAGAAGAGACGGCGGCGGTTAGAATTTGCTCATAACAGTCTACGCAACATTGTTGCCATCGGTCTTTAAGCCTGGGACATTTTTTGGCACACAAAAGTTGACACGTAAAATATTAAAAAAAAAAATAAAATATCTCTCTTCGCTTGCAGCGCATAGCCTCAACTCTGCGGTTCACACACACACACCCACACACACACACACACACACACACACACACACACACACACACAAAACAAGGCACACGCATTCCGCATCCTTGTGTTCAAAAACATGCCAAACTGCTTGACTAACAGGATGCGCCTTGTTTCTTTGGCTGCTTTGGCGCTGCGAGTAATACTAAAAATAAGAAAACGGAATCAGCGCAAAAAAAGACAATAACAGATTTGGCACTAACTGGAGTTCTAAGCAGTCGTTAATATCGCCCAACGAGGACAAATGCCCACATCTAAAAACTAAAACCAACAAAAAAAAGCTTTATTTAAATTGTTTCGCTTTGCAGACGTCGTTGAAAATGCTTGGAAACTAAAGAAAACTAATCTTCCAGTGCTTTTTTTTTAACATTTATATAAGCAATAAGTGAAAAGTTTTCCTAATTGAAAAATTCAGAGGAGCAGCCGGCAGAAAAAGCTAGGGCTCATTACTAAGAAAATTGACAAGTTTAAACATATAAATTGCTATACATTGTGATATGTTTTCTTTCTTTTATGATCTGGAGAATGAGCGCATCTGCCGCATCTGTACAGGCTCAAGATTGGAATCGAATGTATGCATAAACTGAATAATCGAGAGATGTTGTCAACACGTGTCGTAATTTTGAGTGGATGCGAAAATAACCTCATCGTTTTTGTTTTATTTGATTTGTCTGATAAGCGAGACAATAAGCGGGCAAGTTAATCAAAAATAAATATCAGTCGCGTACAAATCAAAAATGCAAAATCCATGGAGGAATCACACTCAGCCCCAACGTGAAGCCAGTCAAAGCGTTTTACAGAGTCATGTTAAGCATTCAGCCAACGGCAAAGACACCTGCCTGGCTGGCAGGGGGCAGTAGACTGGCGGGTGACAGTTTGCGAGCAGCAGTTGGCCAAACAGAGACGTTCACTCCTGGCCTCGGCCTGTCAAGTATTTTAATATCAACGTAAATATTACATTTATCAACTGGCAAAAAGGCGCAGCGCTATACACAAGTGAGGAGCGGAATTTGGAGGGAGGGGAATTTGTGTTGGGGCAGATATCACAATGTCATGCCCAGATGGCAGTTATACACCTGTCGTTTAGTCGGGCTGTCATTGGCGACGGTGACTGTGTTAGTCACTTGACGGAGTCAACCGTAAATGGGCGACATGCTTAAATCAATCAGCATAATGGCTGAGGGGTTACAAAAACCTTGATAATCAGTTGGCAACTAGCGTTTTAGCCGTCAATCGGCGGCCATTTCAATTTATTGTGACTTAAGTCACGAGACCGTGACAGCGCCCAAGCTTATTCAATAAATCCTTTCGACCTAGTTATTGACAAAGCTCTTAATTGCATACGAAAATGCGAGCAGTCAGCCAACCCAATAGTTTACCCACCAGCTCACTAGCCCCAGCACCAACCAGAGGCTCCCAACATCCAACCAGCTGCATGCTTTAACTAATTGCAATAAAATTTCTGGCATCGCCCCAAGCTCAGTGCGCGTTAATGTCAAGACTCAAGACCGTCAGACAATTCGTCAGCCCGCAGCAGCAGCTTCGCAGACACAGTCAACTGGCGACATTTTACATATATGTATAGAAGTGCTATACTCAGCTCAGCTCAGCTCAACCTTGCCTTGCCTTGCCTTGCCTTGGCCAAGTGAGTTTTCTCTTAACTAACTCATCCCGTCCCAGGCCAACAGCGTTTGCTGGCATCCACAGCAGCTGCTTGCTATACCCATTACTCCCTAAAGAGACGAGGATGACTAAAAGAATATCCGAAATAGGGGAATACCACGACGTAGGATTTGGTTTGTGCATATGATTATAAAGCCAATAAACCTGGCTGGATTCCTTGGGAAATACAATTATATGCAATATTTTTCACACTCCAAAAAAAAATTCCAGAATATTTGTTTCAAAGCTTTAGAAAACTGTACCCTGAAATTATAAAAAAATAAATTTGAGTTTCTAGGTATAATTTTGTAAGCCTTCGAAAAATAGATGTGTAATTTCCAAGGTGTTTTGTATATGTATATAGACCACTTACGTTAGCTCTTTTATTACTTGCAATTACTTATTATGAAACATTTTTATATTAATATTTTACATATACAAACATCTTATGGTAACTCTAGCATTTCATAACATGTTTACAAGGCAGATTTCATCATCATTTTCTGAATTTGAGAAAGAACATTTTCTTAAAATAATGTTTTTCTTTTTAATTTTTTTAATATTAAGAGAGAGATTTATGAAAAACAGAAGAAAAAACTTAGTAATTTAATGAAATTGTTTTTTTTTTAATATTTAGAAGTTACTTCTTAAAACAAAAACATTTTTTAGTTTTCAGGAAAGTTTTCGTTTTAGAGCGTTTTTTTTTAAATTTCAAAGCGTTTATAGAGACGACATTAACAGAGGGGACATAACCTGAGTATTCTTGTATTTCCA